CACGTTTGATGTTATTTCTGAGATTCGAACACGGGTCACATTGGTGGAAGGGAACCGTTGTCATCATTGCTCATCACAGCGAAACGTTTGCTTACCAGTTTCAGCAAAGAATCGAGCACACGTTTTTGAAAGTGTCTTGTAGAGGTATTTGTCTCAGCCTTTGTGTTTCCGGTTGATGTGACACACCTCGATCTGCATGCCTGTTCTAATATAACCATAGTCAGCCTTATCGAATAATGGATAGAAGGAAAAAGATTCAGGCACGTAACGCTAGATCTACAGATGCGACAATACGAGGACACCAAGGTGTTGATACCTGATGTCGAAGTCAGAACAAGTTGAAGATATGAAAGGCAGAAGAAACCCAAATGAATACGAAAAGATACTAGGATCTGGTGAGCTGAAAGAAGATCGCATCAGAAAACGCAGGTTAACAAAGGACACAAAGGTCTGGAACAGTTCAAGAGAGATTGACAAAGGATAGCCGATAGGGTAATTAAGGTGCCAGTGAAGACAAGAGGAAAAGTGAGACTCTACTAACAGTTAAAAGCAAAGTTATTTTTGGAGTCATAGTCAACAAGCAAGATGCAGTAGAAGTGTCGTTAAAGAAAGAACAGGTTAGAGAGTAGTAGTTTTTTTTTTTGCATTGACGAACATTGCATTTGTTGAATTTTAGCCATTTGACTCTGCCTGAAGAGGCAGCTTATGGACCAACTTGTTAGCTGATAGTATAGCAAATAAGGTGATAACGGAGCCTAAATAGATAAAAAAAATTGCTTAGCTTTGATTCTAGGAAATTTTGTTTATGACAACATCGTCCGTCTCTACGTACGTCGGCAAGTCCACTACATCATGTAGCCGGGTTTGAAGTCATTTGAGGGAAAAAAAAAGGGGTCAAAAGGCAGATTTTTTGCGCCCAATGCGTTCGAACATAACACTAACGAAGGAAAAGTAAAGGAGAAAAAGAAAAAAAGAAAGAAAAAGAGAGAAGGAGGAAAAAAGTAATGAATGCTCTCTTAGTTTATAATGGCTACTTTGACGAAAGAGGTCCATTTGGAGGGAACGTTTAAAAACAGCTGGCTAGATGTACAATGTTGATTTGACCTCCCTGATGGACAATTGACATTTGTGAAAATAGGTTATTCGGTAACCAGTGTCACATGACTGTATCACGGGCTCATGTGGACAACGCATTGAAGTGATTCGGTTTTCAACTGATCGTTGGTTCAGGTCCCTGGTTTTCAGGAAGAATTCAGTTTGCTTCTTGCTTATGGCGAAAGCTGTTTCTTCTCTTTTAGCTTTGGCTAAATCTATATATTAAAAGGACTAATAGAAGAGAAATGTGCAGTAGTTTGCAATTGACATGAATACGACCTGGGTTCTGGGTTAGAATAACACCTAATGTGCAAAAGCAAGCCTGCGTAATGTCTAGTTTCCTCTTTCTACTAACAGTTGTTTGGGCGTTAAGACAAACAAAAGAGAATGACAGCAATGAATTCTGACGTAAGTTAAGAGACATTCTTGAAGATCTATAAAAAGAAGAAGTTACCGTGCTCTGATATAGCTCGTAAGTGAACAAAAATACATCCAAGAGCAAACTGCTCACGTAAGGCTCATTACGAAGGCAGGGAACGAAGGTCTATATACGTTTCCATGCATCCACATGTGGGAGGACGGAATTAGAGTTCAGGATGAAGAGGTAGAGGAGATTGATGGTCTGTTTGGGTGCAAGGATATGACAAAATGGCGGTAGGACGAACGATTTGAAGTATAGATTAAGTTAAGCTTAAGACGATACTAAGAGCTTTAATTTCCAGTTTAAGCCTTCGAGTAACATTTTAAGGGTCAAGTGTCCTGTTGGTGAGAGATAATCAAATATGGGAATATAACCCGGGAGTAGCACTTTTAAGAAGAACAGGAAGACGTCGATGAAAGTGGATTATGCAAGTCGTCCGTACTCGCAAATCCAGCGACTGTATAAAGGATTTAAGATGATGATGATGATGATTATGATTATGATTATGATGATGATGATTATGATGATGAGGATAGACCGTGATGCTGTTGCTGATGATGATGACGACAAGGACGATAACGATGATGATGACGATGATGGTGATGATGACGCTGCTACCGCGGCTTTTGTTGCTGGGTCATTCTACGGTAATGTGAAAGTAGACATCGGTTTTTAAAAAGTACCAAATTTGTCTAAGATTAACTGAATTAAAAAATTAAAGCGAACTGTTTAAAGCTGACATTTTAAGCATACAATTTCCACGTCATATTTTTTCAAAAATAATTATTTGTTCTGAAGGTGTTGCCAAAAGCCGCTGTGGAGAAGACAAATGGTTTTTGACTTATTCGAAAAGCTGAATATTTTCTTTAAAAAGCCGCTCTGGGACTTCAATATTATAAAGATCGGCTAATACGATAGACATACCTAGCTTGAGAAATTAAAACGAGTGCAAAGAATTGGACTTTCCAAAGTCAAAATGTCTTCTCCGCAACGATTTCACTACGAAGAGTTTTGATTGCAGTGACGAAAACGGGTCAAAATGTTTAAATTTTCCAAATGTTCTAATTAATAGTCATTGTAACCTTTCTATATTGAACATTCATCAAAGTACATAAAATTTCAACGAAAATTTAATGTTTTATTTTTGTTGCGCAGAAGACGGCTAGGAAGGCTAGACTTGTTTTGGGGGGCCGGATTTATGGGTCCTGCCTCCCGCGACTAGCAGAAAGCATTGAGCATGAGCAGTAAACTTTCGCATTGTTTGTTTCAAGTATGGAAAGTGATAGATGGCGACCTAAACGTAGAGAAGTGGAAGTTCTGTGTAAACCGTCAAGAGGACATTCCTTAACAAGGCAATAGCTGGGATTGTGTTACTTTTTTCTCTACCTATGCTCGCTGTCTTGAATCCAAAGGGAAAATGACCCAGAGAAGCACCCCTGGCTTCAGAAAGTACATGATCCTAGAGTACACAAGCAGAGCACTACAGCCACTTCCTCACTTAACTCGCGGTGCAAGGAAAAATCATGATTCACGTCACGAGGCGCTTTCAATTAGACGATGTTGTCTATTCTTTCAATTGCATATAAGTTGTATCAATTGATCTAGATTAAATTACTTATCAATACTTATATATCATCAATATTAGATTATTTATAGCCACAGGTTATCAATAAACCCTTATTTAAGCCTGCCTTATAACGGCAGTCCTCTCCTGTCATTTGGTACTATCCGTGATCCACGGTTTACCCTTCACAAAACAGGATTTTGCAGCCTTTTGTCTTTTCCGCAACGTCTTCTCCTCAGCAAATCATTGCGAGATTTCGGGTACATTAAGAAGGAATGACTAAATATTTTTTTCCATTTGACGATTAATTCTAAAGACCTCTTACTTTGTAAGGAAAAAGGTATTTTAAAAGATGCCCGAATTCGAAAGAATCTAACCTTGAATTGAGCGAATAAAAATTCGCTTTTCTAGCGAGTCTTCTCCGCAACGGGCAATCATTCCTTGACTGTATCTCTCCGTAAAGAGCAGGAGCAGATTTGTCTTGTGTTATAGATAAACTTAGTTTACATCTACGTAAAACAAATATAAAAGTTGTGCTTCTTCTTTCAGTCGTTTACAGAGGAGCGATTTTGTGTCTCCTAAGTGTCTTCTCCGCAACGACAGGTTACCGTGGAACGGCTCTGCTGCTGATGATGATAAAACCTGCGGGTTGTTGCTTAAAACCCCTTACGTTAACGTTACAGTACATACTTACAGTGAAGTCATTCAGTCATATGAAGTATACCACATCCAAACTCGTACCCATAGCCATTCCCTTAGGAAAAGACCTCTTCCCGCCTCTCTACTTTTCTAAGGGAAAGGTTAAGTTGTCCCAGATCAAGGCCAAAATTTTGCAGTAAAATCGATCGCCTGCGGTGCATTTTTATACTTGAGTTTTATTACATTTTGAAGTCATTATCGATAAGGGTATTGACTGTGGAAAAATTGTTGTCGATTTGTTAAACTGAGTACCTCAACAGCATAATGAATATAATCACTTTCTCCCTTCAGAGCAGACTGTTCAGGGCTTTCATCAGTGTCATTGTTAAGTTCGCAAGATCTTTTTCCCCCTACTGCAGGACCCACGTTGATGGACACGCAATTTGGTTCAAGAAAACATTTCACTCTACAGCCACCTTCATTGACCACAGTTTCAGTTCTTATGACGTGACCAGGAAGTCTTTTGTCTGCCATTGGTCCTTTAAATATTATGACCCGGTTGTATTCTGTCGTGAGAACTACGGAAACAAAATGGGAAAGATTTTATGATATGAAAATTACAGTATTATTGTTTCGAGGTCTGTTCGTACTACTTGACGAATTTGGAAGAGCTACGAAAATGAGAACGAATAGTTAGTGCATTTAAATGAAACTCCAAAGGAGTAAAATAGGTCAGCAGGAGACAACGGCTGAAAGCTGAGAAATGACACCGTGGGAAATTCCAGGTGGCTATTGGGTAATAATGTCGCAACCTCCATGTATATATCAGAGCCAGTTTGTCAATTTTCTGTGTGTCTAATTGATACCAAAATATAAAATATCAGCAAGTCCACATATAACAATACATATATTTGTTTTATTCCGAGCCGACAGGGCTTAACTTGAGGGGCGTCTGGAAAAGCCGGAACCGGAATCCTGAATAGGAACGGGAATAGGAACAGGAAAAGAAAGCGGAACCGCAACTGGAATAGGAACCGTTATGGGAAGAGGAACCTATATAGAAACAAGGACAACATTTACCTTAATTTAAGTTGAATTGGATTTTTTTTAATTAAAATTCTTATTCAGGTATATACGAAAAATAAGGGGAAAAAAGAACAGGAACCTGAATAGGAAGGGAAATGAAAACTGTGTTTACTAAATATAAAAAGAAAAAGATATAATCATGATTTAAATGAAAAACCAGAGAGATAATTAAAGAAAGAATAAAACACTCTCGAAATGTTAATCTAATTAATATAACCTTTCTTTATCTTTTTGCCTGTGACACATTGCGTTTTCGTGTCAGACGAACTTAAACAACGAGAACGCTGACCGTCGCGGACTTCATGAATAGCAACCGGAAGTTCAATGTGTCGCTTGATGGAACGCTTCTGTCACACACAACGAACCCTTTTTATCTTCAACTGTAGAAATGTGAATAGACAGAGCACTGGAAGACAGAAAATATCCACTTCCGGTTTCCATTTTTGACGTCCTGGACGTCAACGTTCTCGTTGGTTAAGGTCCCTATTGCACTGGGTTGAATAAATCCCGGAGGTAGATAAAGTGCTGGCTGGGATGGGGATATGGGGATTGGTGCGCGGGGAGAGGGGGGGCAGAGAGGTATTTGTTAATACCCTTTTTAAGTTGTGGACTTTCTATTTCACTGGTTAACTTTCCAATTCAGCACAGTTCAATATATCTATGTAGCAAACTTGAAGTGTATGGGAGCCCAATGAACGTCTCTGATGGGTGTCTCGTTTACACATGGTCTGACAATGGGTTGCCGTAATATATAGAGATTCAGGGGGGGGGGCATGATAACAGGCTAGTTTTCTTATTTTTCATACAAATTGAATAAGACCTAAAATAAATTAAGGTAAATGGTGTTCCTGTTTTTGTATCGGTTCCCCTTTACATTACTTTTCCTTTTCCGTTTCCGTTTCCGGTTTAGGGGCCTGTTTCTCGAAAGTTCCGGGAGCTTTCCAGGCCCGGAAAGCTATTTTGCGTATGCCGTATTTACATTCAAGATCAAAGTTTCAATAATTTTGACAATGATACAATGAAACTATCAGTAAACGAAGCAAAATTGACTGGTTTGTGAGCTAGGAACTGTGCTGCTATTCAACAAGTTTTGAATTTAAAATTTGCTTTCGGGCCCGAAAAATTTCCGGGCCTTTCGAGAAACGGGCGGCAGGTTTCTGTTCCCATTCCCGTTCCTATTCCGGATTCCGGTTTCCGGCTTTTCCAGACGCCCGTCAAAGTAAACAAGATTCAAGATGCTGCATAAATTTTGCGTATGAACTCACCTGTCAAATTTCGAGCAATCACAGCATAAAATTGGACGAAGACCGTGACCAACGAGTGATCATGGTGAGCAAAGTCAAGAGAATCTGTCTTCCTTGCCTTTAATAGCTGGCTGAATTTTTGCGTCCGAGGTCAGTTTCAGATCAAAATCTTAATTGTGTAGCGGAAATACACGACATATTTCATATGAATTTAGAAAAAAATTAAACTTGAGCCTGCGATCAGTTGAAAACTAGCAACTTGTCAGCGGATAACTTTAAAAAAAAACTTGACCTCGATGGGTCGACACCTGAGCCCGCCATACGGTCAAGTGATACTGGTTAGCGGATACCCTGTTTTGACACCTGTTCATTGATCACAACATTGATGTCCAATATGAGTGCATAACAGGAGGGCATTTTGTATGCGCATGCGTCAATATGGGCTGTTGAAGTGCCACAGAGGCATTTTCTGTGAATTGTTTACGTTCAGTACCAGCATTTGCAGGCCGTTTTCTGGAGCTGAATAACGTGTATTGGGTGCTACATTCCACAAACATGTTCTTTAAGGTATCGAGGTATTTCTACGATGAAAGTGAGTTTATTGTAGCCTCGCTGTCGCCCGTGAGAGGACAGTCTTTCCTTTCGTAAAACAGTACATCGAAGACAAGATGGCGGCTGAATGTTTATACTACCTAACATTTCGCGCACATTTTTTGAGCAGGAGGAAAAGGTCAGTATGATAGTTTGTCGTTAAACAATTATCCTATAGATACTTAATTCTTCTCAATAGTATAACTCTAAAATCGAACTTAATCGTTTCAGGAATACAGTGGTTAAATAAGTGTCCATTCTGCCGTGAAACTATTTTTCACCCTTTCTCTGGCTTGTTTATCTCGAAATCTTGCCTTTCTCCCCAGATTAAGTTAATGATTAATGAAACTAAGAATACTTCCGCGAATGAATGGCGCTTTGATGAAGGCTGTGAAAAATCGCCTTCTGCAGTAATTTTAGCTTTCTTCCCCGGTACGTCTTCGTTGAGAAATAAAATACACGCACTTCAACTATAAATTTAAATCAGTATAATGAAGAGAGTAAGATTGTGTTTAGAAAATAAGAATATTTTCTCATTTAGTTATACAAAGGAAAAAAATTACAGCAATCGGTTTGAATTCTGATTTTTTCCACCTTATTTTGATGGTACACTGTTTGTTTACATTTCATTATGCAAATAAATATAACATTTTGGCGTTTTAAAGAAAATCTAGCCTATCTCCCCAACCCCAAAATAGCACGAAATGAAACGTTATCAATACACCTTTTCAGTCAATCCTTGCTTCTGTTGCAAAAAAATCGCATTTATTCCTAAATGATATATTTTGTGGATACTACATTTGTTGATATGCTAATTTGTGAGACATTTCATTCACGAAGGATGTTGACTGAGACCAGCCTCTCCTCTGTATTGAACCACATTCTTGTTTAACGTATCAGTTTTTGCTTGATAATTCTTCCATGATGTACACCTTACATAAGAGGTTCATCTGGATACAGTAAAAAGCTCTCAACAGAAAGATTAATAACAGACAAATTCATCCATCCATTTGTGTCATGTTTGTTGTCGCATCCCAGCTCATTTGGGTCCTTTAGCAGAAGTATTTATTTTTTGAGGAAACAGCATTATATGCACCCCTTTAACAAACTTCCTGTCTTATGTTTAAACAGGCTTTGAAGGTGAACAACATCGTCAGTTAGATTTATGGAGTGATGGCCATTCTCTGTTTTGAATAGATTACTACTGTCATCAAATATAAATTAATGACAAGAAATCAATTGTGGGAGACAGGAGCTGTTACTCAAGAGTCGCTTCAAAATAGTAGCTTTGGAAAAATCTCTGTATCTTTTAGAGTTAAAGAAAAATAAAAGTACTGTTCGTTTTTTCGGAGTATGTGCATTCGTTTTGTTTGCAACTGAACTTATGAAATGCTCAAGTGATTATGTACTTGTAATTGTTGCTTCAAACTCAATCCATTATACACTTCCTATAGGAGAATATTTTTTATAAATTTTTCCGCGAAAACGTTCAAAAAACTGTTAAAACCCCATAGATTTCAAGTTTTGTGGCATATATAAACGCGTGTCTCCGCGATCAGTTTAACATGAGACATGGCGCTAATAAATAAACCTCGCGTGGTAAATTTTTTTTTTGGATTTTGTCTTAAAGCAGCTGAACATTGCTACGATGAATTTCCTCCCTAAATAAAACCACGAGTTTGGAAATCAAACCATAGAAATGCATTGCTTTGCCAGTGAAAATCAGACTTATACAGGACTATGACTTTTGGCGTTGAGTCTTGTCTTTAAAGGCCAAGAAAACCTACTGCTGAAAAATCTACAAGTGAAAACGCGCGTAGAAAACGTCCGATTTTTGTCATGGAGAATATTTTTTGTAGGAAAGTACGGTATTCAAAGCACCAACGAAATGGCTTTTAAAAGGACTGTAACTTTACGCGCGAGTTTTCGATTTCCCGCCATCAGATTTGTTGCGCCTACGCTATTGTCGTTCAGCGGATTCACGCATGCGCATGCAAAATGCCCTCCTGTTTGAGTGCATTATCAGTTTTCCTGTGCTCCCAAACTAGCTAGAAAGTATGAGATTGAACATTGATAGCGATCTAGTAAAACCATTAACTGGTCAGCGGATAGCCCCCAAATAAATCACGTCACCTCGATGAGTTGACACATGAGCCTGCGATATGGTCATGTGATACTGGTCAGTGGCTATCCTGTTTTGACAGCTGTCAATTGACAATATTGTGAACGTCCAATGTAAAAGATGTGGATTTACCAAGGCACGCCTGAGACACCCCTCCCTTCATTTTGATAGTCTCCCCTACCCTACCCGTACAATCTGTAGACGAGTACGTACGTACGTACGCTCGGTCAATCACGTGACAAGCAAACAAAAAGAGCTTGACCATATTCTATGAGTATGGGAGCCCTGCTATAAATCGCCGATTGCATTTGGAGAGACGCCTATATCCGAAGTGGGGCTCATAATGGATGTTTCTTTTTTTTTTACATCGTTTACGGTATATGCGTTTTATTTCGGTTTTTAACCGTTAAAGCGTTTATCTTCTGTCAAATCTACCGTTGAATTCAAACTCAAAATCAACTGGTTCTTTCTCCTCCGATGGATCAATCGGAAAGAATGTCGGTTTGTAGAACTTCCTACAT